CATACATTTTTTTGACGTGACATTATAATCTTATTCATCATCAATATACCGGTATAAAAAAATGATATACAAAATAAATTAAATCATATTATTTGTAGACAAATATTTCTTTAGTATTTTTTTTGATAAATAATTGAATTTTTTTATCTGTCAAAAGATTGTATTATTTTTGTATTATATATACACAAACAAAACACACACACAATATGCCAATGAAAATGACACATATTTTTTCACATTTCACATATCATTCAATATATATACAGTATATATATATATATATATGAAATTTTATTGCATAAAAAATATATTTATAACACAAAGATATCGTATTGTTTTCAGTGAAAATAAAGTTGACATTAGGATAATATCTAAATTTTATATATATATAAATGTTTATATTGTTTAGTATATTATATTATAAAAATTTGTGTTTTATTTATATTATATTATATCCAAAAAATAATAAATCAAATTTTGATGTTTAGATATTTTTTATATACAGTTTTATGTACAGTATATATATATTTATGTGTTTATGTATAGCATATCAAACAATATTATTATTGTTTGTTATTTGTGGGATTTTTTTTAATAAAAAATAGCAGCTATTGTTAATAAATATATATTTTTTGATAATATAAATGTATACAAAAAAAGTTAATAGTTTTTTTTGTGTGATTATAATCTAAATGTATATATAAATGTATTAAATATTTGTTATTAATTTTTATAAAACTATTTTGTAACACGAGATCATAACTTTAAAACTTTTATTTTTCTCTTAAATGTTTATTTAATAAAAATTTATTAATTATTTTAAAATATTTAAGTTATTTTTTCCATATATTATTTTTTTAAAAAAAGGTAAACATGTTATTGACACAAACATATACATAAATAAAAATTTATATATATATATGGTATTTACAAATCAATAAATTATTTAATTGAATTTGTTTTCTATAGTTTTACATATATATATTGAATAGTAGTAATAGTAATAGTATGCATAAAATATTGATTAATAAAATATTATTAATATATTTTGCAATATCATTGGTATATTATATAATTTATTTATTTTTTTGTCAAATTATAATACAGAAAAATACAAAAAAATAATAATATTATAAAAAATTAATAATCAATAAATAAAATTGGGATATTAGAGCATAGGTAATAAATTATATATATATATATATATATTTACTTAAAATATATGATATATATTGTATATACTGTATATAAAATATGTGTTTTTTCAAAACCATATATTTTCTGATTAATTTCTCTCTCTCTCTCTCCCTCTCTCTCTCTCACTCACTCACTCACTCACTAATCTAATAAATTTATTAAGTCAAAACATATACACATATTATATAGATAATAGTGTATAACAAATAAATGTATTTATTTTCAGGTTAACCTTGATATTAGTGTTTGTTTTTCTGGTCAATAAATATAGTAGACATACATACAGTACATGTCATTTATCATATACAGTATAATAAATGATAAGAAATTTTATCTTTTATTATTATTATTATTATTATCTATCAATAATTATTGAGTGAAAATTACTGTTCAATTTATCTAATAATAATGTATTGTAATTATATATAAAAAAAAACTATACATTTATTATAGACTAAATTATTGATAAATTATAGTTTGTTTTTTTCTGGTTAAAATTAAAATTTGTTTATAATATTGCACAATTTATTTTACACAAAAAATAAAAATAAAATTAATTTATGATTACTAAAAAATATTTATCTAAAATATTAAAAATTTATTAGATTAATAGTACATGTGATTCATTATTACATAATAGTCTTTCGTAATTAATTTAATTGACATTTAAAAATCATAGTTACAAATTTGAAAAATAAATATTTAATTATTTATCAAAAAAAAAAATATTTAAAAAATTATTGAATTTTTAATCATGATCACTAATTATAATTTATAATATAAATTAATTTTTAAAAAATTTCTTTATTTTAAACTTTAAATTATTATTTTTTTTTACATTAAAACTAGAGTACAACTTAACTACAATAGTATATAATATTAAATAAATTATTGGCAAATAACATAAGTATTAGAAAATTTATATCAAAAAAAAATTATGACGTTTTTCCTAACAAATTTGATATACGATAAAAAAAATTTAAAAATATATATATTTAATACTTTGTCATTCATACAGTGATTTTTTTTGTTATGTGTTAAAACTATTGAAAAAAATAATATTATTATATATTAATTAATTTAGTTTTTTATAATAAAAAAAATTTACGTCATATGCAGTAATTATAACCATATTTTTTTAAAATGTAATATACATTATATACATACTGTATGTATACATGTATATTGTAGTACTTTAATACAACAACAAAAATATTGGTTAACATATATTACTACTAAATTACTTATTATAATTTATAAAACATTTTTCTCTCTCTCTCTCTCTCTCTCTCTCTCTCTCTCTCTCTCATAATAACTACATCATTAGGAAATATATATTTTTGTTTTAGACTATAGTTATGTATAATGTTTTTTTTTAAAGATAGTGTCAATCATATTACAATATAAATAATATTGCATGTATAAGATATAAATTATAGTAATTTATACAATTAATAAAATAACTTTATTACAGATGATATTTTTTGTTTGTATCAATTTTATTATATACTACTAGTAATATTTGAATAGTATACTGTATATATGAAATATAAGTCCAATTATTGTATAATAATGTATAAACTTGATTAATCAAATATATACTGTATATATATAATATTATACATGTATATAATAATAATAATAATAGTGTCAATTAAGATATCAAATAACTGAGATGACATAATTGAGATTTTTATATAATAATAATTATTATTACCTAATATTATAACTACTTATATATCTAGTATTACAATTAATTATTATTATTATTACTATTATTTTATAATAAAGTATAAGTTTACAACATTAAGGTCTTTATAGTAGTAGTAGTAGTAGTAGTATTAGTAGTAGTAGTAGTAGTAGTAGTAGTAGTAGTAGTAGTAGTAGTAGTAGTAGTAGTAGTAGTAGTAGTAGTAGTAGTAGTAGTAGTAGTAGTAGTAGTAATACATTAAATATTATATTAATATTTTTTTAAAAAAATAATATTAATAACATTATGTTATACATAATATGTAAAAAACAAAATAATAATTACTTGTGATTTCTATGTAATCTAATAATTTTTAAAAAACATTTAAAACTAATAAATTATTTATTTAAAAAAAAATATTGTTTTTATATAAAATCAAATTTGAATATTATTTTTTATATCTCTAACTTTTTGTATTGCTTTTTATTTTTTAGCAAACATAATATATTTTATTGTTTATACATATTTATATTTTTTTAAGTTACAAATAAAATTATTATATAATAATGTCGTATAAAATAACAGTATTATATAATAGTAATTACTATTATTAATACTTTACTATTATTTTATTTTTTATTATTATTATATTTTATATTTTTTAAAAACTTTATTTCTATACTTATTATTTTTTGTCAAACCCACATATAATAATAATTATTATTATTATTATTGTACAAAAATAAATAACATTATTTGTCATACAATCATATAAATTATTATTTATGACGATTTTTGGTGTTTTGTTTTTTTAAAAAAACCATTTATTAAAAACACATTTTTTTGATGTCAAATATTACAATAAATACATTAATAATATAATTAGTATTTATAGACATGTATTGCTAATGCAAATCCTGTTTTTTTTATTAATAAGTAAATTGACATTTAATTTGCTATAATATTACACACAATTAATCAATATATATATATATATATATATATATATGTATATGTATATGTATTATACAAATATAGTTTAATGACTGTTTTATTATTATTATTATTATTATTAATGTATTATTTATTAAATGTATGATAAAAATAAACAAAAATTATTGTTCAATAGATGATGAGTTAATATATAGGATAAATAATATATAAATTTATTTATATATTATTAGACTGTATTTAGTGGTCAACAAAACAAAACTAAATAATAATAATAATAATAATTTGTTAAACATTAATAATGACATAATAAACAGTGTATTGATTAGACTAAAAGCATAGACTATAGTATAACTTATTAAACATTTATATTTATAATTTACAATATTATTATTATTATTATTATTATTATTATTATTATTACTATTACTATTGACATTGACATTGAAATATTTTTATATTTAATTTGAGCAATGAACTTTTTATTTTTTTTCTACCTATTTATTATATACTTTATGTATATAACATATATTTTATTATGTATATATTAAATACATTTCAATAATAATAATTAATATATTAATAGTTAGTTAAATATTGATTTAATAGGTTATTATTTTTATTAGTACATGACAGTGGGTGAGTGGGTATCAAATATAGATGCCATTGACTGGTACTGCCAATGTCTATAGACAAACATAATATATTGTATATATACTGTAATATTATTTACTTAAATATATCATAAATATAATACCTAATGTGGGTAATAAAGTAGTTTTTAGGTATTAATTATTTATTTATAATAATATTAATAATAATAATAATATTAATACAGTATTTATTTAATATATATCATATATATATATATATATCATAAATTTCAGATAAAATCAGTAAAAAAACATAATTTAATAATAAAAATTATTATCAATATATTAATTAAAATTTAGTAAATTTGCTGATAGATGTCAAGTTAATTATTTAATTAATTTGATTTAATTAATAATTTAAAAAATTTAAAAAATTTAACTTAAAAATTTAACTTAAAATTTACTAATATTAATATTTATTTTATTTTTTTTATTAAATGTTTCTAAAATTTATAATCTATTAATTAGTTAATACCTCCACAAAAAATAATTAATTAATTAATTAATAGTTATAATAAATTATTATCATTTTTGATCATTTGTGCGGCCATTTCGCCGACCATAACGCTGGCCGCGTGTGTATTAGCATTGGCCAACTCGGGAAACACGGACGAGTCGGCCACTCGCAATCGGCCGACACCTTTGACACGTAGACGCGGATCGACTACAACATCCGGACGATCGGCTGAACCCATACGACATGCGCCGCCCGGATGTAGGGCTGTATCGGCCGTCTGGCGTATAATACAGCGGACATATTGATCGCATCGATAGAGCGGTAGTTCGGGTCCGCAAAACCGACAACCGGGTACCGGTGTCGGTATCATACGGGCATAATCGGTAAACGGTGGCGATTGGGTTAATCGGAACAGGGTTTTAGTCATATCGACCAACGCCTCCATGTCCTCAGTGGCCGACAGATATTTCGGATCGATCAGTGGGTGATCCCAGGGATTGGTTGTATTCAGACGGACAGTACCGCGTGATTTGGTCCGATAGACAGCGGCTGTTATCAGTACATACGGTTGGCCAATATAGGGGCGCCAGTAGTCGCGCCATTCGTCCAATCTATCGGTACCGTAGATACTGACCGCTTCTCTCATTGTCCGCTTAACACTATAGGCATTCACGTCAATGACAGCGTTTGGCCACTGGGGGTCATCGCGATTGCCGGCAGTCGAAAAAAACGTTATCGAATTGGCCAGTTGTGTCAGCGGACCCGTATGATCGACATAATAGTCGTACAATTGCTGGACAGTCGGGCCAACCGTTGGGTTTACATACGATTGATTGCTGACCATATAGTAGTGATGTATGAATACATGATCTTGGAAATTGTTGCCAACCGGCAGGTCGGCTATCACTTTAATGCCCAGTGACTGTAGATGATCTCTGGGACCGATACCCGATAGCATCAGCAACTGTGGTGAGGCTATACAACCTAATGAGTGATTTTATTTTAGACATGTATTTAGATATACGGTGATTGACTGGACTGGACTCTGTCTTACCGGCCGATACTATGACCTCACTGCTAGCGTTTACCGTTAATAGTCTACCGTTTAGCTGAAACTGTACGCCAGTGGCCATTGGCCGGCCATTTATTGTAGTACCGAATACCACTCGATAGACCATTGCATTGGTCAGAATATGCAAATTATTTGGATAGGGATTCGGATCAATGTAGGCATTGCCTGTACCCGATCTGGTACCCTGACTGTCAACTGTTAGCTGATAGATCCAGGTGCCCAACTGGGACTCGCCATTGATATCCCTGGTCGGTATACCGTTCCGGTTCATTACGTCCTGAAACAGTTCAAGTATTTGATCCGGTTTTTGCATGGATGTTACCTGCATGGGACCACCCTGGCCATGGTAGCCCTGATTTTCACGGACAACCCGAGCATCGGTATTGTTTTCCGATCTATTTCGGTGGTGGTGGTGATGGTGGTGCAGGTATGTAAGGTTAGAAATCCATTAATTAATTAATTATTTAGTTATTTTAATGAGTAATTGATTTAATTATGTGATTATTTTAATGTTAGTTAATTTTTTTTAAAATTATCAATTTATTATAGATAATTATTTTGTAAAAAATTTTTATCCCCTAATTTTGTTTTTTTTATTTATAATAAAAAAATTGATAATTTTGTGCTTGACTAGATTTTTTTAACTAAACATACCATATTTTTAATTAATTAATTAATTATTGAATTAATTGCTAATTAATTTAGTTTCAATATAAACTTTTTTTAGTCAGTAATACCTTATATATATTCATACAGTATATGAATTGAAAAATAATTTTTTTTAATTTTAAAATTAATACCTTTTAAAATAGGGCAGCACTTCATCATAGGACCATCCCTGGGCACCGTAATCCCTGGCCCAGCTATCATAGCTTCGACGATTGCCTCTATTATAGAGCATCCAATTGATGGTCGATGTACCGCCAATAACCTTACCTTTCGGCTGCCGTATACGCCTGTCCCTAAATGCCTGGCCGAGTAGCTGCTGCGGTACTGTCCTGTATTGCCAATCGGATTCCGTATCGACCAGTGCCGGTGCCAGACCGGGCATATCGCTTATTTCGTTTTGCGGACCGCCAGCTTCGAGTAGCAATACCCGTATGGTGGGATTGGCGGCGGCCAATCGGGCGGCCACTACAGCACCCGACGATCCCGATCCCACTACTATATAATCGTAGCCATCAGTGGCCACCGCCGACCATTGGTTACCATTGCTATTGTTGTTGTTGTTGTTGATGTTGTTGTGAGACAATTGTCGCTGTAGTGTCAGTACTGCAATAGTTATCAATTGTAGTGATAAACTGTTTGTAATTAAAGTCATTGTATTTTTTTTAAATATATAATATTTAATTAAATAATTTTTCAATAAATTTATATATAGTTTTCAATATCGAAAATATTGAAACTATTGTTGAAAAAATATTTACTATTAATTTAGTCTATTAGTTAGCTTTTCAACATTTTTTTAGTATTTTATTTTATTTTTTAAAAAATAGTTAACTAATAGTTAATACACAAAATAATAGTTATATTTAATTTAAAATAATATTTTATAAAAATTATTATTTAAAATTATATTATATGTCTGGCATATAATAAACTAATAATAATAATAATAATAATTTCAATTAAATCTATATGATTTTATTTTATGATGAAAAAACAATAAATTTTTATTATATGTGGGTAATTATCTATTAAATACAGTATATAATTTTTTTAATAAATAAATTATAAGTTATTAATATATATATTAAATATATATATATATATAATTTTTTGTTTTGCCATCATTTATAATTTATATTATTTTATTTTTAGTTTTTTTTGTATATATATTTTAATAGTATTGCAAATAATTATTTATTACAATATATATATTGTTAAAAAATAATAATATTTAATAAAAAATACTTTAATCAACAAAATATTATACAATTTTTTTTTAAAAAAAAAGCTTAGCTATAATTATATTTTAAAAAATCTAAATTATTATTATTATTATGTTAAAAAAATAACTTGATAATTTTTCTTGTTATTATTATTATTATTAATCAGATGCTGATTTTTTATTATTAACTAATAATGGCAATTGATCATGATCAATTTGGCGGCGGCTCCTGTAGCTGCACCGGCAGCCACCACCAAACAATAGCTCCGTTATGTTAGTCAATGGACATTCAATAATCATATAGAATACATAAGCCAATAGTATATCATAGATTAGGTCGACAATAAAATGTTCATACTAAAAAAAAATAAAATTTTAATTTTAAAATTTTAGTTTTTTTCAAAAAATTATTATTATTATTATTACTATACCATATATTTATCGGTCATATTATAGGTATAATGATTGGTAAATATACGGTTCATAATAACCAAATAGTGTAATATATAGATACCAAACGATAGTCTAGCAATTGGCCGTAAAATGTACCATGATAATATTTTGTTTAGCAATTCTATACCAAAATTATAAGCATTTTTTTATTAATTTTTAGAAAATATTTTTGAAAAAATTAAAGTGAAATTGATTAGTTTTTTAAAAAAAATTAGTTAGCTAGTTAATTATAGTTGCATAAATAAATTATTAGATAAATAATTTTTTTTTGAATAAATAAACTATAATTATATTGTTAACCATACTATTAATTAGTTTTTTTTTAAAAATTTAATAAATTAATAGTATAGTTAACAATATAATTATAGTTAAATATTTATTTTTTTTAATTATTTATCTAATAATTTATTTATGCTACTATAATTTAACTAGCTAACTAATTTTATTTATTAACTAAATTTATTTATTTATTTTTTAAAAAATACTATTTATCTAATAATTTATTTATGCTACTATAATTTAACTATCTAACTAATTTTAAATATTAACTAAATATATTTATATAATTATTTATTTGTATTGAAATAAAAACTACTATATATTAATTTAGCTTGCTGATAAATGTTGACAATAATTATTATGACATACCTGCCCTACCGGTGCACAATGCAAAACATAGCCAACCAAATCCAAGACAATAGAATAGTTTACCAATGGTTAGCCATAGAAGTATATTGACTAACGGTGCCGAATGATCCAGGTGCCAGAATGTAATATTATAGAAATAAACGGCTAAGCAAGTGGCCAGGGATAGCCAATTGAGTAGTAGGGTTGCAAGTTTACTAATTGATTTTTTATGTCTACTACTACTACTATTCAACAATAATCCATAGCCTATGCCTACCGTAAAGGCAGTTATGAAATTGTTGGCCGTAAAATTGTACCAGGTAAACGATTTGGATACAGTATAGATAATGGCATCCAGATCCCAGAGCTGCAAATAGGGTCGGATGTTAAACAATAGGTAGGGCCCGATACTGGCAAACAACCCGATAGCTAGCAATACTACCAGTGCTAGGGTACCATATTTTCGGCTACGATAGACTAACAATACAACTAGAGGACCGGCTAGGGTTAGTTGCATTAGGACACCTAAAAACCAACTGGGCGGATTGCACTAGTAGTTAGTAGTAGTAGGGCAACAAAAACAACAAAATTATTAATAATAATAATAATAATTTAATTAGTAATTAAATCGATAACTATTTAAATAAGTATATATTTACTATTTTATAATATATTTTTATTTAATTATCCTATTATATTTTAATTATTTATTAATATAGAGTAATAATATTAATTAATAATTTTAGTTATTAGTTAAATTATTAGTTAAAAATTTAATAATAATAATAATAAGATAACTAAAACACTAAGTATTACTATTACTACTTATTTTCTAATTATGGACTATATTTGCTATAAATCTATTAGTAATTATATTAATAATTATTTATTACATTATTATAATTAGTAGTAATTTTTTTTAATAATTATAAGATATCTATTGCTAACTATTACTAATTAATTAACTATCAGTAAAAAATTAATAGTTTAATAATTATTTTTTTAGTTAATAATAATAATTATAATAATAATACTTTAGAGTTAGCTATGGATAGCCGTTCCAAGTGTTCATCCCTGAAATTATGGACAAAAAACAGCATTTTCCACAAGTTTTGACTGTTTTGGCAGCCAGTGGTCACCCAACCGACCCCTATATGCCATATGGGACCCGAACCGGTCAACGGGAACAGATAGATAAATAGGACAGAGCCAAACATTAGGGTTGCAAAGCGTAGCCAACGTTTCAATATAAATGTCAGATAATTTAGTCGGCCATTATTTTTTTGTAGTTTACTATAGACGCTATACGATAGTAAAAATCCGCTAGATAAATTAATAAATAAATTATTTAATTAATTAATTAAACATGAACATTTTTTTAAATTTAATTATCATAATTAAAAATAATATGCATTATATATTTTTTTTAATAAAGTTTATATACTTTATTATTACAATTATTATTTTTTATTAAGTCTATTATCTAAAATTTATTGTCTAATTTTTCATTAAATAATTGATTATATATATTAAATTATTAACAATTATTATTTTAGCTATTTTTAACTATTATTAATAATAATAATAATATCAATACATTTATAATAATAAAAATAATTAGTAAAAAATATAATAATAATAATTAATAAAAAATATATAATTTATTATTTTTTGTTGTTGCAAATTATAAGTGAAATTATTATTAATTACTTTTTTATTTATTAAAAAAATACCTCAAAGTTATCAACGAATCGATGACCAAATAATTTCGACTAAACATATACTCCTTGTCCTCAAATATTGCGGGAAACACTCGGGAGTATAGTTTTTTCAGTGCAATAATACCCAGTGATGTCGTATACTGGAAGGCATGGGCCATATGGACGGCCAGTATGAGCAACAATCTGATGGTATCCAGTGAGGCATATTTGCTACTATTATTATTAGTAGTATTACTACTACTACTACCATCAACCGAGTACAGGGAACGGGTGTTTTTTATCAATGAAAAACTAGTTAACCATTCATCTGAACATCGATGGACAGTCTGATGGTTGGTGGACTGGTAGTTTTGGTTGCTAACAGTTGTTATATAATCATAGCATGTACTTGATATGGCTAGTATAGCCAACAGTCCTAGTATTAGGCTGTCCATCAAATTGTAGCAAAAAAAACAAACAAACAAAAAATAATTATATATATAATTAGTAAAAATATTTAAATTAATAATAATAATAATAATATGTATAATACATAGCCACAGTTTGATGTCCGTCCAGTGACCTATGCTGACCCTTGACCTGACACTCGGGTCCCACTTCTAGCGGTATATGTGTTATGGGAAATTGTACTTGATTCAAAACAAAAAAAAAATTATTTTATTTTTTTAAACAAAACAAAAAAAAACAATAATTACTTTTATTAATCAACTTTTCAATCTCCTGGGCACTACACTGGCCAGGTATGCATAGGCCGTACCTGAACAGTGCACCCTTACCGACATTCATGGCCTCGACAAATGCCCTGACTGTTTGCAAATGTGGTAACCGGTAGCCGTCCATTAGTCGTGCAAATCGGTTGCGGGCCATTAGTTTCGGATCGGTTAGATTCATGCCCAGCGAATCCATAGACGGATAGGGCATCAATGGTTTGACCAGACAATACTGGCCAACAATCTCGGGTATGAACATAGATTCTGGACTAACAATCGATAGACATTCGGTGTAATCGCCGAAACTCGATGTCAGACCTTCGAGTAGTCCCGGATCAACGGGACGGCCGGCCGAGTCGGCAAACTTCAGAGCCCACTGTTCGCCCCTACCCATCGAATAGACTATTTTCAATATGCTGACCAAACAGTCGGGCGATAGTTGCTGGCCCAGGGCCAGGGCAAACGTACCGAACAATTTCAATGCCCTGAACCGTAGTCGACTGGTAGCCGACGGTGCCATCAGATAGCGTACGGTACGCTCGAAACGGTTATGTATGGCCAGCATATCGTCTACTGTCTGAACCCGACTTCTTATAGGACTACCGGAGCCCCTGTCGTACACGTGTTTCCATTTGTTTAGATAGTATTGGAAATTATCGGTTATCAGGTCATCATAAACTGTATTAGTATTGGTATTATTATTATTTAAATTATTAGTATTATTATTATTATTATGATTATTGCGATTATTATTATTGCGATTATTATAACAATTTATAGATAAAATATTTGTTAATAATATTATTATTAGTAATGATATTAATGATAATATTTTAACTAAATTATTATTATAACTATTATTACTAGTAGTAAATTGTTGTTTTTTATAGATATTTATAATCATTTTTTTATATATCATATATATATATATTAGAAATTTTTATAATTTTTTTGAATTATTTAGAAACATTGAAATCATAAAATTAGTGAGTATTTTCTAAAATCTAAAAAATATATAAAATCACATGTTATTATTAATTAATTAATTGACTGATAATTTTTATAATATTATTATTAGTTGTTTTTATTATTATTATTTTTTTGTGCCAAAGTTAACCATATGTTTTATTTTGTGTTAATTTGTGTAGTACTGTATTAAATGTAATAAATGAAAAAATATTTAATAATTTTTTTTTTATAAAAAAATTGAGTTATACAATATATTAATAATAATGTTTACTATTTAAGCATACAGCAGTATTAATGTATAATTAATTATTTAATTAATAGTTTTACAAAAAAAATAGTTATGTTTACAACTAATACTGTTAATTAATTATATATTAAATTTGCATATTTATAATATTTAAATTTAAATAAAATATTATATTTTATTTATTTTCAAATTTCAGAAATATATTTATTGTAATAAATTAAATTACAATAAATAAAATAATATTACTGTAAATACTATTATATTATAATTATAATTATAATTATTTATGAAAAAACAAATTATTCAATAATTTAAATGTTTTAAATTTTATAAATTTAATAAAACATATAATATTAATTTTTTAAATATTGTAAGAAAATATTGTGAATATTTTTTTTAAAGTTATAAATTTAATATGAATTTAATATCCTATTTACGTCTAATTCATGTATAATTATTATTATTTATTTATAATATGCATTGGGTTAAACATGGAGTGTAGGGGTAAAAATATATTTTAGCCCTATTTTTGTCCAAAAAATTTTGTTTCCCAATATTTAAAAAAAACTAAAAATAAATTATATGTAATTAATATATATTTTTTTTGTTTTACGTAATGATAATAATTTATAAATAATTTTAAATAATAATAATCAATACTTTTTTTATACATAAAATAAATTAAAACTTTTTATATTATATATATTATATTTGTTAATTTTTTAGTTAAATTATTATTAGATAAATATTATTAAAAATTTTTTTTTATTATTGTTTATAGTTTTTATATATTATACATATTAAATATGAAGTAAATTATTATTATTATTATTAAATATTTAATATCAACTTAAATATATTAAAACATTTATGTAAAATAATTTATTAGGAACTGGATTGATTTTTTTTATTATTAAATACAATTTGAAAAAATCTAAATTTATTACTAATTTAAAAAAATTATTTTTTATTTATTTAGTCATATTTAGTATTACCCCCCCCCCACTAAAATTTAAAACTTTGACTACTCATATATATATATATAATTTCAATATGTTTTATGTATAATATATTAATAGATTTATATTATATATATATTTTTTTTTTGATTAAAAAAACAAGTTTTTAAAACATAATTTAACATTTACTGTACGAATCAATAAACAACAAAAATATTAACTAAAAAATTAATATTAATTATTATAAATTTTTTAAAAAATATATATATTAAAGCATCATGATGATTATAATAACAATATTAATTATTACAATTATTAATACTAATATCATGGTTAATTGTGCCAATAATAATAATGATGATAAACATGTACAACTGGGTAAAATAGTATTTATTAAGTCATTTATATGTAAGTAATTATAATTTTAATAAAATTTATTTTTTGTATATAACATTATTAAATTGTAAATTTAGATATTAAATAATTATTTTTTTGTTAAATCTACAATTTAATTAGAAATTAATATTATATATAAACTATAGACAATGATAAAATAAAAATATTATTTTAATTATATTTAGCTAATAATCATTTAATTAAAATTAACAACTGAAACATATAAATAGTAATATAAAAATTAATTATAATTATTTTTGGTCTATATTAAGCTTATTAATTTGTTATTTTTATTTTCAATGTTTAAAAAAAGTATCAGGGGTAAAATTATTTTTTTTTTAAAAATACCTCCTAGATTAACCCTAATATGTATTATATATATACATTATACGGTATAATAATAATAATAATAATAATATAATGAAAATAATAATTATTATTAAATTATTAACTAGGTCATTGTACTGAAAATGATTATGGACCAAGGTGGAAAAATTTTGTCAAATGTATACAATTGGACTACAATCAGAAAAACAATAAATCATTGATTGCCGACACTGTTATATCGTTGATGCCGACCGCCGACCTAATCAAACGTGACTGTCAACCGCCCCAATGCCTGGTAGAGGCCTGGTGTCTGAAAAATGTTATCATACAGTTGGGCCTGTTATCCGGTGAAACAGTTCAAGCGATACATAAATGTTATAAACATTTAGTGGCCAACGGTTTCCGACGGGATATGTGCAAAAATACTGTCGATAAACGATTGAAAGCGTCGAAAGCATTCAAACATAATAATTATGACAAATATGTAGCTAATAATAAACAAATGTAATATATTCAGCCTCCTCAACCCCTCCCTCTTACCCACCATTACCTAAAATTTTTGTCAACACTCCTAATACTGATATTCTTTGTGAGTCTAAAAAACACTAACTATAGTTAAATGAGTTGAAAAAATAAAAAATTTTAATAATAAAAATTTAATTAGTATATATACTGGTATATATATATATTTAAAAATTGAACGCATACAAATTAAAACTATTACTAAAATTTAAAATGTATTTTTTATTAATTTGTAAACATTCCCACCACCCACCCTATCAAAACCCGTGTCCCCTTTTAAACCCCCCCCCATAAAACCTTTGCTTAACCCTGATATATATATATATATACAGTATATAATATATTAGAGTCTAAAAAACACTAACTATAGTTAAATGAGTTGGAAAAAAATTTTAATAATAAAATTATTAATTAGTATATTATTAATATTCAAATATTTATTTTTCTATTGTATAACAATTCAAGTGAAACAATTAAATTATATATTTGTTATTTTAATAAATAATAAATTACTTATACTTTATTTTTAAAAAAATTAGTATATTATGTATTTATTATACTAAATATATATTTTTAAAACACATAAAGCACATAATAACATAAGATTATCATAATTGCAAATTTTATACATTATTAAATAATTTAACAATAAAAATAACTTTTAAAAATTGTTTATTTTTTTAATTTTTAATTTATAGTAAAACAATAATTATATAATCATTTAATTTAGTATTATTTATATATAATAATATTCAAGTATTTACTTTTTCTTATTGTATAACAGTAGTTCAAAAAATTTATTATATATTTTATTTTAATTAATTTTTTTAAACAAATAATAAATTGCTTATACTTTACCTAAAAAAAATAAATAAAAACTATAAATAATTTTTTAAGTAGAAAAATTAAATAAATAATTCATCAAATATTCACATAATTTTTTTTGTTAAAAAAACTAAATTACAAAAAAATTAAAAATTAATTTTTAAAAGAGAGAGAGAAAAAAAACTACAAATTTTCAATCATTTTGGCAGCAATTTCTAGACCATCCGATTCAAGCAATCGCTTGGATATCTGTTTCAAACGCTTATGTATATCGCTATCAGTGGCCAACAGCTGGTCTAACGAGTCCAACAGTTCCCGATCGGTATACTGGTGTGCATCCAATCGGATACCGTAACCGGTTTCATGCAGACGTTGGGCACTATCAAACTGATCCAAAAACAATGGTAACGCCAACATTGGTCGTCCGTAAATGAGTGCCTCGTAGACACTGTTAGTGCCGGCGTGTGTGACCAGTAGGTCGACATACTTGAGTAGTTGTCGCTGCGGTACAAACGGCTGGCCCCACATATTTTCAGGTAACTCATAGCTATCGCTTTTGTAGCCTTTAACTACTATATACCTGTACAGCACATAAAATAAATAATTATAATAATAATTATGAGGTATTATAACTATGGATGTATATTATCAAAAGTCCCATTATTTTAATATAATATTTTTTTATAGATTAATAATATATTTTTTATAGATTAATAATATATTGTTTATAAATTAATAATATATTTTTTTATAGATTAATAATATATTTTTTTTATAAATTAATAATATATTTATTTATAGATTAATAATATATTTTTTATAAATTAATAAAATATGTTTTTTCCCCAAATAATAGTATTTGATTGAATATATATTTATTTTTTTTTGTTTTAATTTAATATTATCAAGTTTATATCATCTAAAATATATATATATAACAACTTAAATAATTGAGCTTGTTAACAAACAAAAAAAACAAAAAAAATAATATCATCTAGTAAAAATTACTAAATTTTTTAAGTCAAATAACAAATAACTAAACAATGTTTTTTAATATTATCATTTTTTATACTACTACTATAGTATACTACAGGTAGATAACCCCCACCACCCACCCACTCACCCACATATAACACCTACCTGTGCTCAGTTTGCTTTAATATATCAATCAGTTTCTGCATAAATCGTTGATCGCCTGAACAATAGGATCCCATGGATACTAGTATTAGTTTTTTACCCTGACTTTCATCAATAAACTGTTTCAATGGTCCATCAATTGGCTTCTCCAGACTCGTGTCATACTTTGGTAACCACATTGTATCCAATCGATAGGCGTTCGGGTATTTCAATGTTGTTTTCGTTGGATAGTAGTCCAGTTCCCTGGGATAACAGTACAGATTCAAATAGGGCGAGTGCGGGGAGTGTCGGTTTTCCGGGTTAGGCGGATAACCGCGCAATAGATAACCCAGTTTGTAGAGATAGGTTAGTATATTTAGCAAACTTTTATATAGTAGACCACATAGACGTTGCCATAATGTTTTCGTTGAGTTATCGGATAAACCTAAATATATATATATATATATATATATATATATATATATATATAATATTTATTTTATATATACTGTATATATATATTATAATTTAAATAAATAAATTTTTGTGTGTATGATTTTACAATAATAAATGGATTACATTAATATTAAGTGTTTATTAACAATAAAACAAAAAATTTTGATTTCAAAATTTCTAATGAAAATGTTTTTATTTTATTTATTTATTAAATTCAATATTCATAATATTTTTATTATGTGTGTGTGATTGAGTGTATGT